TATCACTAGTGGGAGAAAGGTAGACCTCGAAGAAATTCGAGAACCACAAGAAGAAGTCCCGATAGTGTTGGAACATGAGCAAAGAGATCAAGCAATTGAACCTCAAACTGCTCAAGATATACCACGTAGGTCAGACCAGATACGTAATCCTCCGGTCAGATATGGATTTCTCATGTCTGATGAAGGTGACGTCTTGTTGGTAGATCAAGGCGAACCAGAGACCTACCTCGAGGCAATTACATGCCCCGAATCCGATCTATGGCTCGAAGCCATGAAATCTGAAATGGAGTCTATGTACACAAACCAAGTCTGGACCTTGCTTGATGCGCCCGAAGGGGTAAAACCCATTGGGTGCAAGTGGGTCTTCAAAAAGAAGACAGACGTAGACGAGAAGGTTCATACATTCAAAGCTAGATTGGTAGCAAAAGGTTATAGACAAATCCACGGAATTGACTATGATGAAACCTTTTCTCCAGTTGTTATGCTGAAATCCATTCGGATAATGCTTGCGATTGCAGCCTATTACGATTACGAAATTTGGCAGATGGACGTCAAGACGGCTTTCCTTAACGGGAACCTTAAAGAGGATGTCTTCATGACACAGCCTGACGGTTTTCAAATTGCTGGTCAGTCTGCCAAAGTTTGTAAACTGCAACGTTCAATCTACGGATTGAAACAAGCATCTCGGAGTTGGTACATACGCTTCGACGAAACCATTTCCATTTTTGGTTTCGAGAAGAACTCTGACGAATTCAGTGGGAGTGTAATAGTATTCTTAATCTTATATGTCGATGACATATTGTTAATGGGTAACGATATTCTCGCTCTCACTTCGGTAAAGACGTGGTTGAGCGAGAACTTCTCCATGAAAGACTTAGGGGATGCTAGTTATGTCCTTGGCATAAGAATCTACCGAGATAGATCAAGAAAGTTAATAGGTTTGAATCAAAGTACATATATAGATAAAATCCTTGATCGATTTAGCATGTCTAACTCAAAGAAAGGATCTTTACCTATGACACCTGGAACGGTTCTTTCCAAGAGCCAGAGTCCTTCTACTCCCGAGCAGAAGGAACTCGTGATGAAGGTTCCATACGCTTCTGCGATTGGATCCATCATGTACGCCATGATATGCACTAGACCTGATGTCTCATTCGCTTTAAGCGTGACCAGCAGATACCAGGGAAGTCCAGGAGAAGCACACTAGACAGCGGTCAAGAACATCCTCAAGTATCTTCGCAATACTAAGGATGCATTCCTGGTATACGGTGGTGAGGAAGAGCTAAAGGTGGTCGGTAACACTGATGCTAGCTTCCAAACCGACAGAGACGATTCAAAATCACAAGCAGGATATTTATTTTGCCTGAATGGCGGAGCTTTTAGCTTGAAGAGCTTCAAGGAGGATACAACCGCCGATTCGACTACAGAGGCTGAGTACATAGCTGCTGCCGAGGCAGCTAAAGAAGCTGTTTGGATCAAGAAGTTCATTACTGAACTTGGAGTGGTTCCTAGTATCAATGACCCTATCTCGTTGTTTTGCGACAACACTGGGGCCATTGCACAAGAAAAGGAACAGCGATCTCACCAGAAAACCAAACACATTGTACGACGCTATCACATCATACGAGAAATCGTAGATAGAGGAGATGTGATGATTTGCAAAGTAGATACTGACGACAACATAGCCGATCCCTTGACCAAGCCTTTAGGAAAGCTAAAGCATGAGGGTCACACTAAGTCCATGGGCATTCGACCGATGCCAGATTGGCCATAGTGCAAGTGGGAGATTGTTGGAGTTGTGCCCTGATGGCCAACTGTTTATCATTATTCTATCATGTATAGGCAGATATAATATGTTTACACATCTCATGCTAATGTAAACAAATATTATATTCCTAGATTTATATTTAAAAGATGTTTATCAGATAGTGTTATTCTGCAAATGAGACTAACATCTTGAAATAAATATTTATCTAAATGTCAATAGTCGAGTATTAACAAGAGTGGGATATCGTTAATGCATGTGAGACTAGTGTGTGTTGGATGTTTGACTTAGTCTCATAGTCAATGACAGTGTGTTTGCATCCGCACATGGGTAGATATTATCTCGAGATAATAGGATGCCGGACTGACCCATCCTAAAGATGTTGCTTGAACTTTTAGTTCATGCTTTAAGCATCTTTAGCGCGACCACGGGTGTAACTATCCTTCGACTTGAAGTATTACGTTTTCTGCATATGTGAACCCGCATGCTTTGATGCATTGTCCTAAGCCATATGAAATAAGGATGGTATACAGGCTTTGTTTTGGGTATGCCGCAGCGCGTATTCAGAAACGTAGATTACGTACATAGGATTTGTCACTACTCTTTTTAAAGAGATTAATGTCTTATGGGGCCCACTGATAAGTTNTATATTTTTTATATACTTGTTTAAAAATGATATTGGTATTTTATTTGATTTAAAATTAATTTTATATTAATTTTTGGTGTCAAATAAAATACACTTTGAACATTTAAGTGGAGAAGAATTTTGAAAATCCTTCTCATATCATTCATTCGGCCATGATGAGATTGTGAAGAATAAAATTTCATTGATTGATTACTTAGTGGAGTTAATTGATTTGTCATTTAGCTAATGACAAAGATTTATATTTGTTTTCTATATATGCACCTCACGCACCATTAAAACAAGGGGAGAAGAAAATCATCTAATTTGCTTTTGAGTTTCAGCCATTACACTTCCCTTCAGTGAGAGAAAATATTATTTTGGTTCCACATATATCATTTTGTGTATAGAAAATATCTATAATATTTTCTAAATATTATTGGAAATATTTTCTATAGAAATATACAAGATTATTATTATCCCAAATTTTAATCTTTATATTTTATTCTACTATAATCTTTACTAGCATAAAGATTGTGGTAGACTCCGGGGTTGTTCAATTCGTGTGTCAAAGTTGGAGACTGGACGCTTGAACGGTTACGTTTGCACTTTCAACGCTCTTCCTACGACTTCTTCGTTTTTACAGTTTACGGAGAAAGGTATAAATTTCTTACTCACTATATGTTTTAGTACGTAATTCTGGGCAAGATAATCATGTTAGGATGTTAAAATTTTTATATTCCGTTGTCTATCCTTGCATGATTACCTTTCAGTATATTGTCGCCATTAACAAATAAAAAATTAATATAAAGCCTAAAGTAGTATTTGAAATTTATTTCATAAAAACTCCCTTCTCATTAATATTTATTCCATTTTGAACAATGTGTAAAATATTATAATTTTTAAAATGGTTTTTTTTAAAAAAATTTGTATAGAAAAAAAGAAAAAAATTACATATTTCAAATTACATTAAAAGTTTTATAAAATAGGATGTGACAAAAATATTATTTTTTGTCAAATTATTAAAAAAATACACAAATAAAACAAAGTTATCTAAAATCTAGGATAGTAACAAGAAAATAAATTAATGTACGCAGGAAATATGATATTTTTAAAAAGTGAACTGCTAAATATTAAGAAAAGGAGTCGAAGTCCTTGTGGTCTATCGGTATGAACGTGACTCTCACATATTGGAAGTCAAACGTTCGATCCCCAGTGAGTATACTAATTCTAGGTTCTTATTGGGTTTAGAATATTTGAATAGATACTATCCCATCTCGGGGAATTTGTCCACTTTTTACTTTTGTTAGTCAAAATTGATAAACTTTGACCCCAAAGTAAATAAAAATGATATTAGATATTGATACAAAAAAAGGTTTATTAGATTTATTAGATAAAATATATTCCAAATATTATTTTATCTAATTAATATACAATATATAAGATATTCCCTCCGTCTCGAAGAATTTGTCCACTTTTTACATTTTTCAGTCAAAATTGATAAACTTTGACCCCAAATTAAATTAAAAAGATATTAGATATTGATACAAAATGCAATGCCCCAAAACATACCCTAGAATTATTAATGAATAATTATTTAAATAATCAAATTTGTTTTGATTAAAATAAATTATTGTTAGGCTTTGGGTCGAAATAAAATGTGTTTTGATACCCAATATCAAAATCTGGATATATCTCTTAGAAGATAAATCCAAATGTTGACTTTATGTGTGATCTTAATTGGGAACCAATGTGCAAACCCAAATTAAGAGTAAATGAAGAAATTGTTTATGATGTGAACTTTGAAATGATTTATTGAAAGTAAATATTGAGAATAAATATTATGAATTGGATGAGAGAACCTTTTTCAATAAAGGTCAATTAAATGAATTTTGACTCTATCAAAGTCACACACCAAAAAATATGATGATGGAAAAAGTATTACAAATAAATATAAAACTTATATGATTGAATAGAGTTTGACTGACTGATCGCAATGGTGAAAACGGATTTCAATTCAGAGAAAGTAGGACCAAAAAGTGTACCCTGACTGGGACCAAATTAGTCCTAATCAAGGGAGATGTGTACAAACAGCGCCTCCTCCTCCACTACGAGATACGCCGATCGAATGATGTAGCAAAGCTTGGATGCATTCCCATCACCATTCCTATATAAGGCTACTCCCCATTCTCATTTCTTCACCAATCCTTATAATTCCTTCTTCTATTCTGTTGCTCTGACTGAGGAGAACGCATGGTGCCGTCAATTTGGTGTGAAGTCGCCAGAGGAAGCCGTGGTGTTCGCTGGAAGTTTCGGTGGAAAATTTCCAAAAGCTCCGTTTAAGCTCGAGGTAAGCCCGTAGATTTATCTAGTGACTAAAATGTTTGTATAGATCGTTTCTACGTTCATAAAGAGTCGTTTGGTTGAGTTTTGTGTTTGACATCTTTGAAGAACCAAGAATCATAAGCTTTGAAATTGTTGTTAAATATACGAACTAATGACACTAAAATGATCTATGAACCTTGGAGAACATTTCTATATAGTTTAATTGAAGTTTGGTGACTAAAAATGACATTTCCAAAAATTGGTCCGTGGTTGAAGATGACACTGTTCAAAATTACACGCAGTACGGTATCACCCTACCGCCCGGACAGTACCTAGGTACTGCCGGCACGGTATGCTATACCATGACCACGGTAGGCTGTCTACCGTTAACCACCGCTTCACTGGCGGTAGCTAGCGGCAGTCGATACCCATGTACCGTGACACGGTACTGAGGTACCGTACCGGGTACCATCCCGAACCTGATATTTTTCCAAAAACTAATTTTTGAACTGTTGAATCCTATTTTTGATACCAATAAATTATGATCAATATGAATATGATTTCTGGACATTAAAATGATGTTTTGAAAGATTCAAGAACTTTGTTGATGCATGACGGTAAGATAGGGTGTTAACACTCGACACTAGATCGCTATTTGTTAATGAATATTATGATGACTATTAATGAATAATGATTATGATCAAACCTTGATGAATATTCTGATGGGATGATTACTATAAACCATAATGAAATGTCATTGATAATAATCTCTATTAAATATTGATTATGACGATCAAATGGATGACCGTGTGATTATGATTACATAATGATAACGATCTTATTATGATGAAATACTAAAATGTGGTATTGAATAAATAAACCAAAGAACAAGATTTTGAATAAATATGTTCGTTTGATTATCTTGAGTAATGATGATTGTGAATTGAAAATCCATGATTCAAAATGAATAGATTGACGAATAAGAAAAATAATGAGTATTGTAAAGGCTATCTAGGGAACCTCTAAGATAGACCTCATATTAGAATGAACTTTTGACAATATGTATATTCGGTGATTTGAATAAAAAATGTATAAAAGGGATTCATAGACCAAACTAAAGGATCACTCGTTTGGGAACGCCCCAATCCGACGATGATTAATCGCTATTCTGTTGTTGCCTTAACTGACTACAGTTAAGCATCTGGAATTCAATTGCTTTAAACTAATTATAGTTTAAGCGTCTCGAAATTAATTGCCTTAAACTATAGTTTAAGTTTCTAGAAATTAGTTACCTTAAACTAATTATAGTTTAAGCATCAGAAAATGTATTTTCTTAAACAAATTATAGTTTAAGCGTTAGGAATTGTATTGCCTTAAACTAATAATAGGTTAAGCGTTAGGAAATCAATTTCCTTAAACTAATGATAGTTTAAGCATCTGGTTGTCAATTTCTCTTTAAGAGTCTGGTTATGAAAATGTGGATTTAGCCTTAGACTAAGAATAGCTAAGAGTGTTATTATGATTTGGCCTTAGACTAAGAATAGCTAAGAGCGTTGTTATGATCTGGCTTTAGACTAAGAATGGCTAAGAGCGTTGTTATGATTTGGCCTTAGACTAAGAATAGCTAAGAGCATTGTTATGATCTAGTCTTAGACTAAGAATAGGTAACAGCGTTGTTATTATTTGGCCTTAGATTAAGAATAATTTAAGAGCAATGTCGAAATAATGAATATTGAATATTCGAATTGAATAATATGTGTTGATGTGAATTGAACAATATCATAATCATGAATGATGAATATTTGAATTGAACATTATGTGCATGATATCAAATGATTTGATTATGAATTGAGATTCAGTTTATATGGATGTTCGACCCATTAGATATCCTTACACAGCTTCAACGCTGAGCATGTAGTATGTTTTATACGCTACACGCAGGTAATAGAAAGAATGATGTGACGCGATCTTGGAAGCACGGAGGCGAGATAGTTGGGATGGATGTGATGGTTTTGAATTGAAGAACATAAATAAATGATGTTTCGTGATTGTGATTTGTTAAGCTTTTGCAACATTGAAAACTTCGTACTCTTTACGTTATGAAAAATATTATTGTAATAAATAAAAGTTTTTGAAATGTTTTAAATTTTTACGATTACCAAGTTAATATTTTAGTCCGAAAGGGGCTGCAGACCTGGACAGGTTAGGGTGTTACAAAGAAATGTTTTTATTAGATTTATTATTTAAAATATATTCAGAATATTATTTTATCTAATTAATATACAATATATATTTTATTTAATTATAACGCTGAGCGTGTAGTATGTTTGATTCGCTACACGCAGGTAATAGAAAGAATGATGTGACGTGATTCTGGAAGCAGACGGAGGCGAGATAGTCAAGATGGATATGATGGTTTTGAATTGAAGAACATAAATAAATTATGTTTTGTGATTGTGATTTGTTAAGCTTCTGCAACATCGAAAACTCCGTACTGTTTATGTTATCAAAAATAATATTGTAATAAATAAAAGTGTTTGAAAGGTTTTAAATTTTTACGATTACCAAGTTAATACTTTAGTTCCGAAAGGGGCTGCAGATCCGGACGGATTAGGGTGTTACACAGAAATTGTTTTATTAGATATATTATATAAAATATATTCAAAATATTATTTTATCTATTTAATATAAAATATATTTTTTATTTAATTATGTGAAATTTGCACTAAATAGGACTAAAACATAATGACTTTCCTAATCTAGGACTTAAACTTTTTTATTCCCTAAATAGGACTTAATAATGACCTAGTGGAAGGAATAATGTCTAATAATGATGGACATTTAGTTGAATAATGACTACTTGATAATGACCAAAAGTACTACATTGGGAAATAAAAACATATGGTCCTATATTGGGAAAGTCATTATGTTTTAGTCCTATTTAGGTAAATTTCTCTTTAATTATAGGTTAAAGGTTGAAAATACTTGAACAAAAAAGTCAAAACTGGACAAATACTCCACGAAGGAGGTAGTACTAAATTATTCTCCCTCCATCTTAAAACCTCTTTCCCTTTTCTTTTTTTCTTATCCCACAAAAGCCTTCTCTTTTCTATGAAAAACCCGCTTTTTACCCTACTAATTCTTAACTTACATATCACATCATGCCATTTTACTAATAATTTACCCATCACATCCAATTTTTACCATCACATTAAGTGTATATTTGAAAAATTGATTCAAAATTATTCATCCCTTAAATTTCTTAAAAATGAAAACAAAAACATCGTCTTTATGGAACAAAGGTAGTAATAGAGTATTAGTGTTCAAAAAATATGAACAAAGAGGAGTACATGTTTAGAAAACATGAATTTTTAGATAGTGATAGTTACACCCGCTAAAACACTAAATAAAGAGAACATCTCGTCAAATAAGTATATTTTGTGATGCATAATTATTCTACTTTCTCCGTCCCACAAGAATGTTCACGTTTCGTTTTTCGTTGGTCCCATGAAAAGATTCTACATTCCATTTTTGGAAAATTTGTGGTGGTTTTTATTAATTTTCTGAATTTCACCTACACAAGTTTACTTTTTCTACCTTCTGTGTCTGCTTAATTGTGAAATATTATTGCAGGACTGAGAATGTATTATTTTAAAACGTTATAAAGTATATGAATTTTACTATTTTAAAAAACAACACACACACAACATGTGTATACATATGATAATATATATATATATATATATATATATGTATATATATATATATATATATATATATATATAATCCACACCATATACTCATTCGAAAATTAAAATAAATTGAAATCTATTTTAATTAAAAATATTCTCTCTGTTCTAAAAAACTTTTCTACTTTAACTTTGTTTCGTTCTAAAATGTACTTCTGCTTTCTATTAAAATCTTCATTTTATCCCACTAATTGTAAACCTGTACATCATATCCTATCCTATCCTTACAATAAAGTAAGAAAGAATTTAGAACGTAACACTAAAAAATTTAGCATTCCTTATATCTCACGTTTTCCTTAAGTGGATAATTTTTGTAGGACTGCGGTAGTATAATATTATCAAAATATTAAAAGTTCTAGAATATCAATGAGTTCGTGTGAAACACAAGATCAAAAATTTATTTAGAGAATAATAGAGTGAAATTATTGAGGTCAATTTAGTCTTCTAGTAGGATGTGACTCTCATCATCCTTTGTTTTTTTGGATAAAGCTATTTGTACCCCATTTTGTACACCGCATGTTTGCACTGACATTTTGTGTTGGTGGAAAAATAATATTTGTTAACTCACCAATACTCTGTGTCCATGTAAATTTTTGTTAACGCACCAATACTTGTGTCACTGTAAATCAACAAAATATTTGTATATAACTGCGGTGTACAAATGTGGTACAATTTTTGGTGTAAGTCTAGCATGGCGCTGTTTTTTTTATATTCGATATTATATTTGATAACTAATTTTGGTTAATGAGAGTCCTTCGGAATTGAATAAGCTAGCATCTAAAACACGAAATGAATATTTAGTTTGTCATCCATGATCCATTATTCATGCGTGCCGAAAAAGAAACCCTTTGATTGGGAAACATGTTGGACACGATTTTATTATGTGGCCTGAGTTATCATTTATCTAATTAATTGATCATTGACCTAATAAATACCCTACGTATTTATTTGGTAATTATTCGATGGACGTAATTACCCTTACGACCTAATTAGGGTTTCCCCTTGGGTGTATATAAATAGAGGTATTAGGCAGAGATCGACACACCAATCTTACGCCTCCTCTCTGTCTCTCTATTCTTGTGAGTCTCATCCTCACCTTAGCCATCATAACAATACACCCTAAAAGGGAACTCGATCTGCGTGAGAATCATGGTCTCATCCCTAACTACGTTTACAGGATTATCAGGTACACATGATTAAATCCCTAATTTATATTTTATATTTAAGAATTGATCAACATGTGGTATCAGAGCGTTATGTTGATTAATCAATTCTATTTCCGTAAGTTGGAATCAAAATCAAGAAAAAAAACAAGTTTAACCCTAAAGAGAATCGTTTTGAGACTTTCGGTTTTCAGTTTTGGTTGCCCTGTTGTTTTTTTTTCCTCCGCCGCAATAGATGAATTTCACAATTGTTTGAATATTGCAAATCATCATTACGAACTGGTTCAGATCTCATTAAAAATCTAGATCGGTTCCCGAAATTTATTCTTTAATGTTATTGATTGTGTTTCCAATTTTTTAATAAGTACCGATCCTATTAAAAAAAAGGGGTGTTCATATGTGTTCATCATGTTTTTTGTCAGTATTGGATAATAGCAATCTGATTTGTGTGTATCCATTCTAAAGTCTCAAAAAGAAAAAAAAAATACCACCTAATTTTAGAAATCAGATTTTATCCTAAAATAAATTGTGTTTTCGGAATTATTTGTTTATTCGAAATCACCTGTCTCATAAGAATTACTTGTTTATTCGAAATCACCTCTTTTATGCCTTATGGTTTCGAATTAAATTAATCTTAATGGGTCCTCAATTTTTCGTAGCCCCGCCCCGAAACCGCTTTAACTTTTGCGGCTAATTAATTATTAACAATAAATTATAAATCATTTGACTAATCTTAAATAAAACTTATTTTTTTATGATTAGTTAAATTGATTTACTTTGCTTGACTTGAATAATACCTTAGAGTGCACTTCTGCCCAAAGGTGATGTGTAACATTTGTAAAATTTATTTCATGTCTTATTAAGCATAGTAACTTAGTGCATATCCTTAAATGGATGTTTGCATGACACTCGCCTTAAATACATAATATTTCACTTCTGTCCAAAGATGATGTGTTATAATTGTGTACTGCGAACTAAATATATATGTGCATTAAAATTTAAATGTTTCACTTCTGCCCAAAGGTGATGTGTAACATTCAAATTGCACATGATCATTTTATTATTCATAATGCTTAAATAAGTGGTCATAACCAAAGTGAAAGCCATTTGTTTAAGTATAATTAAATTTAGTCTATTATTTTGGTGTTATAATAGACTCTTATCACAGCTTCATTACTATATAATGGTCTTTATCTTCGCCAGCCTTAGTTAATTACCCCTTAAGTTCTTCTTTAGTTATGTGTCTTAATTCTCTCATCTGAATCCACTATCAGCCCCAAATATGGGAATTGAAACCTTGAACGGTGCGAATTTTTCTTCATGGAAAGATTCACTGATGCTAACTCTTGGCATGTTGGATTTTGATTATGCACTGAGAGAGCCTGCCCCTCCTGCCCTCACTGATAAAAGTACTGCTGAAGATAAAATAGTACATGAGAGATGGGAGAGGTGCAACAGAATGGCTCTTATG